GAGAAGGCGAGGGAGGGAAGAAGGAAGGAGAAAGGGAGGAAGGAGGGAGAGAAAAACGGAGTGCACTCTCTATATCGGCCCCAGATAAGGGAGGACGAAGCGAGGGTAGATGGAGGACCGAGGAAGGAGGGAGAAGGCGAGGGAGGGAAGAAGGAAGGAGAAAGGGAGGAAGGAGGGAGGGCCGATGGGGCAGGGGTGAGGGAGGGAGGAGAGAAGGTCGAGGCAGGAATGGCGAACGGGCCGAGGGAGGAGGGATGGTGATTGTGCCTCTGGTGTCTCTCTTCTCTCTCTCTCTCTCTCTCTCTCTCTCTCTCTCTCTCTCTCTCTCTCTCTCTCTCTCTCTCTCTCCCAACAGCCTGACCCGCTTGCCCGCAGTGACCCCCATCCCCCCATTATCTAGAAGGAATGCAAGGGTTTTTTTAATGTTTTTTTCAGAAGGGGTTGGGGGTTGGGGGTTGGGGGTGTGGGTTCGGGCTGAAGTAGAAATAAAAACACTCTCTTTCAAAAAAAAAAAAAAAAAAAAAAAAAAAACACTCACTCTAGCCGGAATCCACGTCGAAGGTCACGTCGGAGTACTTAGAGGGGAACTCACACGATCCACGCGCGCGCGAACCACCGAATCAGATCCATGCAGCACCGATTCACGAAAGCGCCAACTCCCAAAAAGAACGAAGCACCGAAGCACTAAGTGCGGAGTGCGGAGCACCAAGTCGCATGGGGACCAATGATTCAAACCATACCATGAAGAGCGCAGCACCATGCACCGAATTCCCCACGAACCCACGATGCCCCAAGCACCGAATTCGCGACGCTTCCTGGAAGAAAAGAGAAAAAAAACAGAATTCACGACGCTCCGAGCACCGAATCCACGAAGTAGCAAGGACGAAGCACGAACCACCAAGCACCGAATTCACGTAGAACAACGACTCACAAACCATGAAGCACCGAAGCACGACCACATACTACGAAGCACCAAAGCGGAAGAAGAGGAGGGGAGAGGGAGAGGGAAGAGAGAGAGCACCGAAGCACGGACCACGTACTCCGAAGCACCAAAGCGGAAGGCCGGGGGTGTGGGCGGGAGACACACATAGAGAGAGAGAGAGAGAGAGAGAGAGAGAGAGAGAGAGAGAGAGAG